TACTGACTGTCTGTCATTCTGCCTGTTTGACTGTCTGTCTGTCATTCTGCCTGTTTGACTGTCTGTCTGTCTGTTTGACTGTCTGTCTGTCATTCTGCCTGTTTGACTGTCTGTCTGTCATTCTGCCTGTTTGACTGTCTGTCTGTTTGACTGTTTGACTGTCAGTCTGTCTGTTTGACTGTCTGTCTGTCTGTCTGTCATTCTGCCTGTTTGACTGTCTGTCTGTCTGTCTGTCTGTCTGTCTGTCTGTCTGTCTGTCTGTCTGTCTGTCTGTCTGTCTGTCTGTCTGTCTGTCTGTCTGTCTGTCTGTCTGTCTGTCTGTCTGTCTGTCTGTCTGTCTGTCTGTCTGTCTGTCTGTCTGTCTGTCTGTCTGTCTGTCTGTCTGTCTGTCTGTCTGTCTGTCTGTCTGTCTGTCTGTCTGTCTGTCTGTCTGTCTGTCTGTCTGTCTGTCTGTCTGTCTGTCTGTCTGTCTGTCTGTCTGTCTGTCTGTCTGTCTGTCTGTCTGTCTGTCTGTCTGTCTGTCTGTCTGTCTGTCTGTCTGTCTGTCTGTCTGTCTGTCTGTCTGTCTGTCTGTCTGTCTGTCTGTCTGTCTGTCTGTCTGTCTGTCTGTCTGTCTGTCTGTCTGTCTGTCTGTCTGTCTGTCTGTCTGTCTGTCTGTCTGTCTGTCTGTCTGTCTGTCTGTCTGTCTGTCTGTCTGTCTGTCTGTCTGTCTGTCTGTCTGTCTGTCTGTCTGTCTGTCTGTCTGTCTGTCTGTCTGTCTGTCTGTCTGTCTGTCTGTCTGTCTGTCTGTCTGTCTGTCTGTCTGTCTGTCTGTCTGTCTGTCTGTCTGTCTGTCTGTCTGTCTGTCTGTCTGTCTGTCTGTCTGTCTGTCTGTCTGTCTGTCTGTCTGTCTGTCTGTCTGTCTGTCTGTCTGTCTGTCTGTCTGTCTGTCTGTCTGTCTGTCTGTCTGTCTGTCTGTCTGTCTGTCTGTCTGTCTGTCTGTCTGTCTGTCTGTCTGTCTGTCTGTCTGTCTGTCTGTCTGTCTGTCTGTCTGTCTGTCTGTCTGTCTGTCTGTCTGTCTGTCTGTCTGTCTGTCTGTCTGTCTGTCTGTCTGTCTGTCTGTCTGTCTGTCTGTCTGTCTGTCTGTCTGTCTGTCTGTCTGTCTGTCTGTCTGTCTGTCTGTCTGTCTGTCTGTCTGTCTGTCTGTCTGTCTGTCTGTCTGTCTGTCTGTCTGTCTGTCTGTCTGTCTGTCTGTCTGTCTGTCTGTCTGTCTGTCTGTCTGTCTGTCTGTCTGTCTGTCTGTCTGTCTGTCTGTCTGTCTGTCTGTCTGTCTGTCTGTCTGTCTGTCTGTCTGTCTGTCTGTCTGTCTGTCTGTCTGTCTGTCTGTCTGTCTGTCTGTCTGTCTGTCTGTCTGTCTGTCTGTCTGTCTGTCTGTCTGTCTGTCTGTCTGTCTGTCTGTCTGTCTGTCTGTCTGTCTGTCTGTCTGTCTGTCTGTCTGTCTGTCTGTCTGTCTGTCTGTCTGTCTGTCTGTCTGTCTGTCTGTCTGTCTGTCTGTCTGTCTGTCTGTCTGTCTGTCTGTCTGTCTGTCTGTCTGTCTGTCTGTCTGTCTGTCTGTCTGTCTGTCTGTCTGTCTGT